AGAAATAGCACACTGCGGACTTTCCGCTTGAATTGTAGCACCGGTCTAGGAAAGTAACCGACTCTTATAGCAGACTACAGTGAAAGAACACTATCTTTTGGTGGTTTTCTTTCTGATGGTGATTAATGTTCAAGGGCTCTACGTGATATGGGATTAGATTCTCGCTGACAAGATGAGGATGGATGTAAAGGCACATTTATTTTGCCGCAGCAGCTATCTTGACAACTATCTGATAGGGTGGTGTAATTTGCTGCTCCTTGCCTTGCATAATAACAGAACCCGGACAGATATGTTAAAGGGACCAAAAATGTTATAAGTACATATAAACTATTTAATGTATATAACTGAATCGTGTGTTAGAATATATGAACTATTTTAAAGGTTACCTCTTCCCAGACATATTATTATTATATCTTATGGTTCTTAAGTAAATTAAAAAAAAACATCTATAGTAAAATGAGATCTTTTTAAAAATAAATATGTAATATACTTTAATTGAACGTGACCAATAAATGACGTTCCCACTTTAAAAGGTCTTCAGAACAACAAACATACGATTAAATCTCCATCAGTTTAAGAATCACAAACAAAAAAACAATGTTTCTGCGAAGAAGCGGCATTAAAATTTAACGGTCACATGCACAACATCAAAGGGATGTCTCGGACGAAACTGACGTCTATTGTTCTGGATTGATTGAACTTGGACGCGTTACTGCCATACACCCGCCATTGAGAAATTACGGGGCCGAAATGAAACCGTTTTAATACACCATTAAAAATTAGACGTGAGAGTGACAGGGGCTAAAACTTTCAGCTTTGCTATTACCAACACGATTACTCGGGAAATGCTACGACGTTTAAAATCTTAGCGGAAATAGGTTCCATAAAACCTATATTCTGTTAGGCACACACAGCTACTGTTTAAAATTTTATGTAATTTATGAAATTTTATTTTTACAATAGTTGCACAGTTTTTTCTACACGTCGACCGTCTTCTTCCTATATGTTATGTATCATAGCATCCTACTTAAGTAGGTACTTATTTATATCGAAATGTTTTGCCAAAAAATATACGGTAGAATAAGATTTTACGTCCTACATTCTTATTTGTATCTCTGGCTATGAATTTTAGCTACATATGAAATATGATAGTTTTATACTTGGCATACTGAAAATACTCGACATCCCATAATGACAAATAGGGACGCTGGGGAATGCTTATAACTTTTTTATATGTATACATTTCAAACGTTTGCGTGGAGAACTTTATGATTATGAACAAAATGTATATTTTTTATTATTAATTTATTATTAAAACTTAAATAAAAAAAATGGGTGCGTGTACTTATGTAGGCGCGTAAGAAGTTATCCTTCTTTGGCATCGTTTAAAATTAGTTTTTAATTGCATGCAAATAATTAATTACAATAAATTAATAAAAAGTCTGGAAAAGGACACAGTCAATAAAGTTCAGTTTTAATTTGAAAAAATAAATAAATAATCAAAATATTCAATTAAAATCGCTACTGAATATAATTTATTAGAACATATGTGATTTGCACTTGTATGAAACTCAAACACGTATTCCGAATATACAAACTAGAAACATGTGGATAAATATTATAAATATGAACACCTATAACTGTTACTTTATTACAAAATAAAGATGTGGTTTTTGGTTCTACTACACCAATGGTCAAGAGATGGCGCTGTAGTCTCCTGAATCGCGCTTTGGTTCCGTTGTTCCAGATTAATAAATACTTTTGATATTATAAATATGAATACCTATAACTGTTACTTTATTACAAAAAATAAAGATGTGGTTTTTGGTTTTACTACACCAATGGTCAAGAGATGGCGCTGTAGTCTCCTGAATCGCGCTTTGGTTCCGTTGTTCCAGATTAATAAATACTTTTGATATGCCTTCACAATGCAGTCGTTAGCACCCACTAAATCGAGATTCTATTTCTATTTTGTTGGTCTTAATGTGCGGTAAACACAAAAGTAACAACAGCATGAAGTTGGTCGCTAAAGCGACCAACTTCATGCTGTTAAAATTTTGTGTTACAGTGATGCGCGCGCATCTTAAAATTTCACTCTCATCATTTTTTCATAACGCGCCTAAAGAAGTATAACTTCAAAAAAATTGAGGTTTTTTTGTTTCTTTGAAACGCGTACTGAACTTTTAATTTACTGAATGGTTTTTTTACACGAGTATATAATAAACAAGCTTCTTCTCGCGACTACGTCTAAGCAATATTAGTACTTCAAGTAGCCTATTTTGTCTGTCTGGGGGAAACCTATGTTTTAAGCATCAAATTTTAGTGTAATTTCGATTCATTATTTTAGCGAAAATGGCATAGACAAAAAAGCCAGATATTATATCATATCGCGGACTTTTTTTAAGCCATTGGGGAGATACATTTTCATGATGGTGATAATGATGATGAGATGATCAGATTTTATATAGACTGCTTTAGCAGGGATTCTAGAGTTACATTCTACAGTTTAAAAAAAATGCTTGAACAACATTGCGAATTCATTTTTTTGCACCAGTAGGTAGGTATCTTTAAAAACATTGTCTATGTCGTATAACTACAATATATCACAAACAATTGAAGTAATTGGATTATCTAACCGAACAATCAAATCACAAAGTACCATTAATTAAAATTGCCTAAAGTCATCAAATCTCTGACGCCCATGTTAGTTTAACGATTGTCATAAACCCCTGAAGGTAAACCATTTGAATTTAATCGATATTTTGATTATTAATAATCACGAGAGTGTTCGTGCCAAATAATAGGCAGTATTTATTATAGGAACAAGATAAATAGACCGCACAATGAATCGCCACAGCAAAATAAACATCATTTACATTTTTCAACAGTTTGTAAACATTGTAGGTAAGGATTTTAGCGCAAAAAATGTAGGTTGCTGTTAATTGTGCAAAATAATTTATCATTCTTTATTCTACCCAAACACGTTCGTTCATACTTTATTAAAATTAATATTTTGTAAGCTATATTCAGTTATATTTATTTGACGAACTTGGGTCTTCACTGTTTGTTGCGAGGTGTATTATGCATACATATAAAGAATACATGAACGCTAATGATTATTAAAAATGGAACAAAGTATTACCATCATTAAAAAATAGTTATTTATGATACGAGTGCGGTAAGTTGGTTATTACAAACGAGTTTATAAATACCAATTCCGCGTGAATGTCATACAACGTTTATCCACACATTAGCGAGATAACAGTAGCAATATCTACCATTCCCCTATTATCACGCATCAGTCCCCACTCACCCACCAATCCCTTATTATTACCCACCAATCCCCTTATCATCCTCGAATTCCTTTCACCCTCCAATCCCCTTTTCACCCTCCAATCCCCTCTTCACCTACCAATCCCCTATTATCACCCACCGATCCCCACTATCACCCACTAATCTCTTATTATCAACCACCAATCCCCTTATCACCTTCAAATCTCTTTCACGAAACGAACTTTGAAAAGGGGGATCCCTTTTCAACCTCGAATCCCTTTCACCCTCGAATCCCCGTTTCGCCCCCGAATGCCCTTCCTCCCTCGTATCCCCTTAACACCTTACAATCCCCTTCTCACTCTCCAATCCCTTTTCACCTACCAATCTCCTGTGCTCATTTATTTTAAAAACTTCTGATGTAGTTACTCCTCCTCTCTCGCTCTAACCCGCAGCGCCGCTTAGATTAGTTTAAGTTATCAATCACTTCTGTCGTGCGTCCCGAGACCGAGACGCACACGCTTTTTTTGTATTAGTGTTTTCAAGGAGATTCGACCGCATATTTAAAAAAAAAACGTAATGAATACGCACAGCGCCATGTATGGGAGCGTGCAGTAAAATGTTTAAGCTCTATCGGGGACCACAACGCAAAACGAAAAGACCTACCTCATACATCGTAAAACTGTGGTATTATTCTATCCTACCAATAACCACCAAAGAGACCCGTTAATCTTGTTTTATCCTTAGGCACTCACCACTTTGATCCAAGTCCATGCTTCGGAATGTAGCCTCCAGAAGTTTCCGACTACTTACTATCTGGTTGTGCAGTTTTCTCATGGCCGACGATTCGACGAGCCCTACTCTGTTGGAAAATTGGGCGACGCGTCCGCGACACTGGACGAACTGTCGCTCCAACTTATTAAACTACTTACACTCACCACTTTGATCCAAGGCCATGCTTCGGAGTGTAGCCTCCAAAGGCCTCCGTGCGATGACAATCTGGTAGTGCTGTTCCCTCATAGCCGACAACTCGACGAGCCCTACACTCTGTCGAATGGTGAGGCTACGTGTTCGAGACACTGCCGCTGTGTACTGCACGAACTGTCCCTCCAACTTATTAAACTACTTACACTCACCACTTTGATCCAAGTCCATACTTCAGAGTGTAGCCTCCAAAGGTCTCCGTGCGATGACAATCTGGTAGTGCTGTTCCCTCATAGCCGACAACTCGACGAGCCCTACACTCTGTCGAATGGTGAGGCTACGTGTTCGAGACACTGCCGCTGTGTACTGCACGAACTGTCGCTCCAACTTATTAAACTACTTACACTCACCACTTTGATCCAAGTCCATACTTCAGAGTGTAGCCTCCAAAGGTCTCCGTGCGATGACAATCTGGTAGTGCTGTTCCCTCATAGCCGACAACTCGACGAGCCCTACACTCTGTCGAATGGTGAGGCTACGTGTTCGAGACACTGCCGCTGTGTACTGCACGAACTGTCGCTCCAACTTATTAAACTACTTACACTCACCACTTTGATCCAAGTCCATACTTCAGAGTGTAGCCTCCAAAGGTCCCCGTGCGATGACGATCTGGTAGTGCAGTTCCTTCATAGCCGACGACTCGACGAGCCCTACACTCTGTCGGATGGTGAGGCTACGTATTCGAGACACTGCCGCTGTGTACTGCACGAACTGTCGCTCCAACTTATTAAACTACTTGCACTCACCAGTTTGATCCAAGTCCATGCTTCGGAATGTAGCCTCCAAAGGTCTCCGTGCGATGACTATCTGGTTGTGCAGTTCCCTCATGGCCGACGACTCGACGAGCCCTACTCTCTGTCGGAAGGTGAGGCGACGGGTCCGCGACACAGCCGCCGTGTACTGCACGAACTGCCGCTCCAGCGAGTTGCCCCGCAGCTTCAAGTAAGCACCTTTATTGGAGCCGAGCTCGTAATAGTTGGAAGCAGAGAATATTGTTATTACCTGTTAACAAAAATTATAATAATATAATTCACTATTTCTCCCTCCTTTTACCTATTCCTATATACGTCGTATTGTTATCATTAAACAATTTACCGAGTCCAGTTTTATATGGAAAAAATATATAAAAATACAAATTGTATTCGTAAGACTCTCTATTTATTTATTTATACAATGAGTTAAATGACAATACATAGTTTTAAATTAATGACTAAAATTTAACCCAGATAGGTTTTGACGAGTTATTATTTATAAATTTAAACGAACTAAGGTCAATATAATTATATTCGAAATAAGACTTGCTCTTGCTCTAAATTATTCAGATAGCAAAAAATTGCACCTGATAAAAATACTCTCATCTTATTAGTTAAGTACCTACTTATGGTTCAACAAACTTTTAAAGTCACTACTTACTGATTTAATATTTATTAGTAAATACATGTTATTTCGGACGAAATTACACGTTGAATATCTCTATGAATGCACAACAAAAATGTAAGTAATAACGAAGTTCCCTCACGGACAAGACATGATCGTCACGTCTGATCTTCGTCTTTGACCTTCTCCGGGTATAGAGTCGCCAGACGCCGGGTGCGTGAGTGGGAAACAACAATGAACCTACAGGGAAGGTTCGCCCCAAATCAGTTCTCACAAAGATTTCCTCCGGAGGAAATTTAAGTTGGGGCTGACACCGAACATCCTACACATCGGTTGCCGGTCTAATGAACGAACGAACGACGCTCGAGAAAATTGCTCCGTAATTGCAGCGAAATCGTTGCGGGACTTGGTAGCCTTGCTTCTAATTAATACATCAAATTGTAGTCGTCGGCATGGTTACTTGCTGTTGTTATGAATATATAAAAAAACATCATTCAGAAAAAATATTGAACTACGTGAATGTTTTACAAAACCTATAGAAATGAAAACTTTATAAAGTATTAGTTTCACTATCAAAAGTTGTTTCCTATCGTTTGTTCATCTTCTGTTTAAGTGTATTCCAAAATTCATCAAAATTGGTTCTGATTGTGTAACAGGTAAACAAACAGTTATTTGGCATTAATACGGATGACTACGTGGACAGCATGAAATCAATTCTAATTTAATAAATTCTTACTAATAAACACAATAATTGTCAAGCAGATACAATTTATTGTCATTTTAAATCTATAACTATTTTTTGTGTTATTTAAATAATCCCATATAAAAAGGAATTTTATCTCTGATTCCATTGTCTATTTTAATTGCACTTACATAAAAAATAATTGGAAATGAAAATTTTTGTCAATTCAGAGTTGACTTTAGAGAAATGGGATCTACCATTTCTCTAAAGTCAACTCTGAATTGGCAGAATGACCAAGGAAGTAACAATAGGCAATGACGTAAAACATCGTAGGCTATGGGCGTGTAAAAGTACAAACTGATAAGCTCAAGTTTACACATTTGTACAACTTTGATAATCTTGTAGGAAAGTGCGAACTTACCTGACGCCGGAATAACGACTACCGGTAAATTGTTAAAACTTCAGCGCGTAAGTTGGCGAAATTCTCAACAAAGGGCAACTTTAACAGATAACATTTTTGAAACATGGAAGGAACAAAAATAGTTTTCCATTCGGTACGATCTGAAATAGGCTATATACGTTGGACGCATGGGATGATATCCAGGTATAAGAATTATTTATATAAGAATAGGTACTTTTGCTTCTTTTCAAAATATCTAATTGGCGGACCGAATGACATTATCAGGCGTTTTCTATCAGAATCAGTAGTATGAGAAAATACAGTCCCGGTGTGGCGCAATAAAGTAAAGACGTGAGGTAATATTTATGTAATAAACGAGGTAAACATGTAGTTTATAAAAGATCCCTCACAGTATACAGTACTCGGATCTTTTTTAATCCGATGTTCTTTTTCTGTAATACCTTTACCTACTTTGTAATATTTTAAATACTAAAATAATTCCACCAAAAACATTCTGTAAAAAACTAGCCAAGTCTCGATGGAGCTGCTTGTTTATCTCTAAAAAGTAATTAAATCTAGACAAAGTCGTGCCAAGTCTAAGGTCCTTACTGCGATTTCTTTTTCCGGTTCTGATTATTGAACATTAGCAACAGTTTTTCGTATTGTCCATTCGCGTTCTTTATTTATTCTTTTAGACGGTTTGATTTCTGAAAGATCGGCGCGGTATTTACGCCTAAGTCGGTTGTATTCGCTGATAGCAGAAGCTTGAGCTTCTATACTCTTGAAGTCAACATTTAGGAGGTGCACCCCATGAAGATTGGTTACTCGTGAAAGCGCCACGTAGGCTTGGCCACAAGAGAATATGTAGGTGCCAATGTCCATGAAGGTATTTTTTAGACTTAGACCTTGGTATCACCGCCAATCTTAGTCTAAGAAATTAATATTGTAGTGTAATTTGTTAATTTAATTTGTGTAATGTTCGAGTAGAATAAAGTTAATCGTTCGACTATTTTTTCTTGTAAACTCATAAGTATAATAGCCAGTCTAGTGTTATCCAGAGTTTTCCTTTAATTTTATTTATATGCGCATTAAAAGTAGAAAGGGAGGCATTCGCCCGGCAGTGGGACGCTATAGGCCAGATTAAATTAAAAGATGTGTACCACTACGCTGGATTTTTGCAATGACAGTCGATTTTTTTGTGTACCAATAGTAGAAGGGGGCATTACCATATCTCTAATACTGCTGAGGGTTCTTCATCAGATACTTCAGACCTTCGATTTTTGACATCAAATGAAGCGGCCCACCAAGTTGAATATTTTTTGTAAAGGCGGTATGTCGATCTCTTCTAATAGTTTAGTTGGGCTCTTGTGTTTTCTAATCAGGGTCACCAGGTACTCCAGATCTTCGATTATCCTAGTTTTTATAGTTTTCCCTTTATGTGGCCATTAAACCCTAACTCTGCACCAAATTTCAGCTGTCTGAGTTCATGGGAAGTACTAGTTCTATTTTGATGATCATGAGTGAGTGAGTGTCGTAAATGCGAAACTTTGCTTTTGCTTAACTTCGGAACTAAATGACTTGATATTTTAGATTTTAAGTATGTTATTATAGCTTACTGGATGACGAAAATTTCAGCGTTCTGGTCTTATCCAGAGGTTCTCAAATAGGAGCCTGAAAATGCGGCGAAAAGGTTCCAGTAAAGGATGGTATGGCAGTGTTTGCTTCGCGCTCGACTTGGCGGGGGCACTGCCGTGCCCCCAGATTCTGTCTGCCACGCTAAGCAATTTAAGTAGGGGCTGTAAAGAAGTATAAACTATTTTTGGCGCGAAAATATAATATAAAGAAAATAAAAGGGGTGTGAGAGTTTGCATGCACCAATCACATTAACAGATATAGTTGCGGGTAGCCACTATGTCTATATTTTTATATGAACATATTATACATCTAAAATAAGTAAAGACAGATGGAAAGACTCTAAGCGAAAGTCACGAAATGAGAGGCCAAAAACCAATTATTATGTGCTCTCTTAAAACACACAGCGTTGGAGTGAAGATGCTGCTTTAAGATCTTGCGTTATCTATAGTAACTTTGATGTGTAATGGTAGCTTTACTTACAGTTTTATCTCCTCACTCAGCAGGGGGCGCTATCATATTTGTGATAAAGCGTTCTTTGACATCCGTTTGAATTCTTAGCGTTTTATGATTTTCCAAAGTAACTGTCACTAAAAGTAAAAAGGTTTATTTAGTGAATTCAAAGTGTGATATTACAGTTTTTCAGTGTTGTATAATTCGTAGGAAGTGAGGTTGTTGTGAAATACGAGATGAGCACATCGGATGAGGTGAGTCGTACTCCTATGCAAACGGAGTCGAATTCTGCTGCTCCGAAGGGAGAGCAGAAGGAAACTCCAGGGTCGGGCGAAGCCAGGAACATTTCCTCTTCCTCCTCATCTTCGGAAGATGGAAGGGTTTCGCTAGCCAACCTCCGAATAAACAACCTCGGAAAAAGATAACGACAACCGCGATCGGATTCGCGAATCGATACTTTAATCAGTCAGGTTTCATCTATATCCAGCTACCTTCCACATTTGCCATATAATCGAAATACTGTAGCACATTCTCCAGAAATATTGTCTAAAACATTTACCCGTCAGCCACAGAATCACCCTTTTTGAGTGTTCCACCAACACAATCTATTAACCTTTCTTTAGGCGACATACATGTGGGTTTCGATAGCACTAAGGTTATTTCTCCAGATAAAGACCGTCTTAGGGAATAAGAACAACTACAGCTATTTGATACTCCAGCATGGAAAGGAATTAGATTTAAAAAAGATTTACAATCTTGTGCAGCAGCACAAGATTGTAAAGCTATTGCTAGCCCTGGGTTTGTCGGGCTGAAAATGAATGATGAACTTTATCACTTTAATAAGCAAAAAGACTATTTCTATTCTACTGAAAACTTATTAGCTGGGCTACCTAATGCAGTGTAGAATAAAAAGATTTGTTGAAGGGCAATTTACAAGATGTTGTGAATTGGGCTGCTACTAATCCTAATGACCTCAATGCTACCACTTTAGTAGAAAAACTGGTTGGTTGGTTTTTGGTTGTTATTCGGAGTCCAATAAAAATTGGGAAAAAAATACAGGTAATTTGTGGAAAAAGATAGAATGAGTGTATAGAATACCGTCGTGATAAAATTCTTAAAGAGGTAAATAATCCAAATTTAAAGACAACTTTACAACAAATTCCACCTAGTTCTGAATATTTATTTAGCCGCGCTAAATTATCACCTATTATTCAATCACTTAGGGGGACACAGGTTTGGTTGAATACACCTAATTATTTAAAAGAAAACAGACCATCAACTTCGAATCGGTTACACTTTCATGGAAAAACAAAAAAATTAAAGACGGAAACAAATTTAAACGTACACAGAGATCTAATAGACCTGAAATTAAAAAGCACCAGTCATTTCGAAAACACAAGAATATCACAGAGCATAATTACACCCCAAAATCTCAATTTCAAAGGGGGTAGTTTGCAT